AACTTCCCTGTTCAAGACCCAAGCTACAAGTGTCATTTCTAGAACTCTCCCGTGCAGCAACGTGCTGCGAGTTCTCATGGCTGGTACCTGCTTCCTGGTCCACCGTTGCCAGCTGCACATGCTTCCGCCTTGCCTCTCGCCGATCGCGCTTCGGGCGTTTGGTGCCTCCGTGGTTCAGCGCCGCACGGACCGCAGCGAGCCACAGCGGTGGCTCCTCCCCGCTTTCGCTTTCGCGAGATTGCCACTTGGCTCACAGCCTCTGGTTCCATAGGAAGGAAAGCCTATGTGACATGCCATTCATTGCTTTGCAACGGAAGCTATCCGACGTCAATGTGCAAGCGCACGTAGGATCCTTTGTCATTTGCACCCAATGCCGGTCCTGGGCCTGGGGCAGGTTAACCGCTGGGCTGCAAGCATTCAGCGCCATCGTCCGGCAAATGCCGCCGTCTCTTCCTTGTCAGCATAAGGTGCTGCTTGTGCAAACCCGCTGCTCTTGTGGACGTGACAACAATGCTTGACCCAAGGCATGGCTTACATGGTCAATGTGTGGATTGCACTGAAAGCATATATTGGCCTATTGGCTGCCGATTCTGCACGGATGCTTTTTTGTGGCATCCTGCAGGGCAATTGAGTTCTGAATTAGAAGCAAGCTTCGTACTTGCACCGCTTGCAAGGGCAAGCGGCGCAGCAGCATGGACCATGGCTCAAATTACACGTGCGATTCCATGGCAAGGTATGGAAGGGCCCTCCGGTTCACAAACATGGCACCTGCATTGAATCATAGCATTGCAAAGGGCTTCGGCAAACGGGTTTCAAAAAGGCTTCCCTACACGAAAGTGGGTCACATTCCCTGCCCGCCGGTTCTGTTGTCTCCGGTTTCCCTAAGAAAAGGTTGGTCCATTCCCCTCCAGGCTCTGTTGTCTACGATGTGCAGGCCGCTTGACATGGCAGAATGCTTTGATCCCATTGTCATGCAAATGGAGCAATGCGGCTTCCAAGCAGCGCGCTTGACAGTGGACATACCCAAACCTGTGCGTTGAACAATTTGGCGCTTCTTGCGAAGCCCGCGCCTCCTTGAGGTACGATACCGATGCTCTGAAGCATCTGCACCACCTCGCGCACGCGAGTCGCCAGATTTCATCCGTTTGGTCAAAGCAGCCGTGAGGAGTTTGATGCGATGGCTGTGTCCGCCAACTTGACATGCAAGGGGTGGCCAACCACTTCTGAATGTCAAACGCAAGGGCTCCATATCCATACTCTGCACAATGGCAACGCCTTTTTACCATCGTCAAACACGAGATGGCTGCCACACGTCTGACATGTTATAATGCTGACCCAGGCCTGCGGCTCCTGGTTGCTGTGCATCCATCTCACCTCAAATCTGCCAGTTGCAAAGGCAATCGCTCAGCTGCGCAGCTTCAGAAGCGGCCCGTCTTTTTGAATCCATGCGGGGACCGGCCGAGTTTCACGGCGAGCATCCTCAATGTGCGCACAAGGCAGGTACCCTTTGCAGCGATAAGCTGGGCAATCATTAGCAGCGGCCAAAAGCTCCGTCATGGCCAAAAGAGCGTGTCAGCCATTCCACTGATGACGACTACCTCAGATGTAGTCAGCATGCAGCCCTGCGATGCAGCTCGTTGCCAGCCCTCAAGCCTTTTCATGTTGGCATCTGGAGGCTTCGGCTGCGCACCAATGTGACCCTGCTTTGCCACAAACCGTCGTCTCAAGTAGCTGGCTCTCTCCAATAATGGGTTCTTCTGCCCAGCAGCCGACTCCACGAGCGGGCGTCTCCAAGCATGTGGATATGCCTCCGCGCGGAGCAAACACGGCTCTGCGCTCAACAACTCAAGATGTTTGCCAGTCAGAACCGTTCAAGGGGTTGCCCATCCTCGCGCCTCGGCACTGCTCCTGCCGGCATGTGAAGCTTGTTTCACAGCTTCCCGTGCGCTTAATGAAGGGGCGTCTCCATCCACCAGAGCTTGTTGACAAAAGTTTGAACACCTGCTTTTGCCAACCCTGACAAGCCATTCTATTTGCCTCACCCAAGCTCAAATAACACGGCATCTGTTGCGTTTGCCAGCCCTTGCCCGCCTATCAGTTTGACCGGGTGAATGCTCCCGCTCAGGGCATTCGGCCTTGAGCAACCAGCTGGAATCAACCCAAATGGGTAGGTAGCGACATGTAACATGTCACTGTCCTGACATCGACCTGATCCTCGCAACACATCACACCCAAACAAGTAAGCACAGCCTGGAACGGAATGCCAGTGTACAGGAAAAGCCTGCTGCCAGGTGTGGTGGCCATTCCTTGGTATTTCAAAAGCAAGCACAAGCAAATCCAGCTGCCACGAGTGCAGCTTGAAAGCTGCTTGCTAACGGTGCGATGGGGAACCGCCAGGAGGGTTCCTCAAAGATCTGCATCAACCTGGCTCTGGCAAAAGCGGACCACTTGGATTGAGTGCTTGGTGCCCTGCCTTGCGGGCTGGTTGTCAATCTCCTGCACCCGGCCGGTGCTTAGGCAAAAAACCCTCTTTGCGGCACAATGGTCTTCCATTGTCATGAGCTTGCAAGGCGTGCCTCCAAACGCCTGGTCTTTAATGTCAAAAGGCTGCTCTGACCTTTCGGCAAGCTGACCCGGAAGTACAGCACATCCTGAGAGTTGTCAAAGGCTTTCACGAGCACAAACCTTCTGATTGCTGTTGACTCTCTGGCACCCGGGCCCACAAAACATGGGTGTCAGGGATTCTCGAGCAAGGAACCGTGATCATCTAATTGCAGGCGTTTACTTTGCACACCTTGCGGCAATGAAAAAACACCCGAGCACTGAAACCTGCACCACAAAGGCTGATGCTGGATGTCACTATGCCGATATTCGGGAGACTAGTACAAAAGTCGCAGAACAGGGGTGCTCTGTTGCTGCCATCTCGATAATTCCCTCAAGTATCTCAAGCATACTCAACCGCCTGTTGCGACATTTCCTGACCATCCCAGCCACCTTACATGGCCTCAACCGTGCCCACCGTCCTGTCCCGAACATCGACAAGCCTAGACTAACTTCAAACCAAACACCCGCCCCAAACCGGGTGAGGTAGCAACAAAACTTGTTGGGCACCATGTTGCTGCACAACACAAACACATGGAAACTGCGGCATCCGGGCATCAAACCAAACTTGTCGGGCACGGCTGGGGTTTCTTTGTGAAGGTTTGTTGGGGGTGGATTCACAGCGCGTTCGTTTAGGGTCGTTTGACTTAGGTTTCAGCACGTTTTTTTCCCCCGATTCACATTTATGATCTCAATTCGGCTTCTGCAACATTTATGATTTATTCACATTGCCTTTACAATTATTAAGGCCCCCCCCTTCCGAAAAGACACATAAACTTCCCCCAACTAAGGCAGCGGTGCCGGATCGCAAAACAAACCAGCAACAAACACGCGCAATAATTTATAATCATGTTTTCTAACGTGTTGTTGAACGATCTAAACTTACGATTTGTTTTACGTGCGTATTTGTGACTTGTCTCACGCATTTCCTCCTTCTCCAAGAGCCCCAAGATGGTATACCAGAAGCAAACAGGCATAAACACTCGTAAACCCGGCGTAAGCAAACACATAAATGCCAATCAGACCAAAAGTCGTGTCTAAATCGTGCAATAAAAAATATGGGTTTTCTTACTCAGCCTACACGGTAGGTCACAAGCTTGTGGTCGGTTTCGGGTGGGTGTTGGGTGGTTGGGATGGGTTCTCCTTCCTTGCTTTCTTGATTGTTTGCTTCTTTGCTTGCTTTTTTGCTTGCTTGCTTCCTTGCTTCCTTCCTTGCTTGCTTCCTTCCTTGCAGTTGCATGGGGATGGCGGTAAGTCTTTCTTTATGCTCAGTCAGGTTCTTGTCGATACCTATCCCCCCAAACCAAGACTAAATCCTCCCAAATTTAACCAACTCCAAACCATTCCTCCGGACATATGAACAAGACTACCCAAAATCGCCCACTCCTAAACCCGCTACACACAAAGTGCATTGACGGCATTTTGGGCTGGTGGATACACCCTCGGGGTACACAGCGTTGGCCCTGACAATGATGCAGCAAGCCAGCCCTAACCAACTCGAAACCACAACAACCTTTAAGCCAATACCAGGTTAGCTTGCTGGCTTTGTCACAGTGCAGCCAGTTGAGCAAGTCGCGCGAGCCTTATTGAATCCGTGACCAAGTAGGTGGCAAACATATTCCAAAACTGAGGGCAGGCAGTGCAACGAACCCAGTTCCGACCAGTTGATTCCAACCCGCTGTGAATGTTGGACATTTGGTGTCGAAGATGGTCCGGGGTTTGTCCACCATTCTTCCGTGCGGCATCCACACACCTTGGCCGCTTCGTTTTTAGAGAAAAGCATCCAAGATGGCGTCCAAGTCCTTGACGGGCTTGCTGGGCAGCACGTGACTTGGTTCTAGAGCTCAATCACCTCAACAACCTTCTCAAAAAAGCACTTCTGTCGAATACGGCGCCGGCCTGCCCGCGATTTACGGCGTTCCATACAACTGGCTGGCGGGCGCCCGAAATTGCTCCTTCAAGACTGCTCCAGAAGCATGTCCGCCACGGTCAGCTCATGATGACCTGGGGCGCAAAGGGTGCGTAGGGCGTCCCTAGCACGAGCATGATGGAGTCATCCCACGTGCAGTGCAGGGTGGAGAACCCCCCTTCACACACTCGTTCCTGGGTGTCTGCAGGTCAACGGAGCAGTAGCGCCTCCAAAGATCCCTCGCGACCATAAAGCCATCTTCAGTGCGAAGATCTCTCGGCAGCATTGCCAGGAATAGGAGGCTCGAGCTCGTCAAGGGGGCAGCCAACCGCGAAACACGCGAAACACGGGGGGGTGGGAACACCCCCGCCCCAAAAAGAAAAAGGGGGAAGCACAAAAAGGGTGCACGCAACCCGCCCTAGTCGCGACGTCCTTTTTCATGCTTTGCCACGTGGTCTGTCGTGCCAAAAAGGCGGGCCTTGCCAAGCCGAGAGAGTACTCCCATGCAGCTCCGCTCTACATCGCAGAGACGAGACCCGCAGCGGGAAGAATTCTGCACTACTGCTGCGTGGCATTTTGCAGGGTCCTCGTAGAGCAAAAGGTTTGTTGTGCGCCTTTTCTAGGCTGCCTGCCTCCACTCGCGTTCCAGTCGCCTCTGGCTTTCAGCTGTGGCTGTTTGACCTTGAGCTCGTTCTGGAAGTTCAGTGGCTTCCCACACGTTGTTGGCCAATTGCCACTTCTGCGCACTCGGGCTGGGGGATTGGAGGGTGGACTGAGAGGCCAAAACCGGCGCCAGAGCTTGGCCGACTGCGTCCGCTGTCTGAGGTGCCCAGCAAGGTTCTTGAGATACTCCTCAACGTTCGCGCCTCCCAGGCATGCTGTTGGGGAGGCCTCAGGATCCCTTTGTTGGCCCCTGCTTCGTCAAGAAATCTAAACTCAGCTGGTTCAGGTTCCTGAGCCTAGTTGCTTCCATTCTGGCATCCCTTTCGGCATCCAGCGCAGCGTCCATGGCGTATCCCATCCTGAAAACAGACAACCGAGACCGAGTCCACTTGTTAGGGTATGCAGGGACATGTCAACTGTACTGGTCCCTAAATGACATCAGAGTCCAACCATGCAAGCATAGACTCAAGATTTGGTTGCTCCACAATTTAAAGCAAAATAAGTATACACAATAAAGTAATCATCGTTCTGTCTCGCGCACTCGCACCATACAACATATCCAACCCGACCGAGCACTCAA